TTACATCCTTCCTACCATCTTGCTGAAGCTTCTGCTTTGTCTTTGGACGTGGGGTATCTTTTTTTGGTGGGTTCCAGTGTCCTCCTGTCAGTGGCTGTTCAACATCTAGTTATAACTTGGGTACTCTCACAGGAGGAGATGAATGCCTGGCCTTCTACTCCACCATCTTGAACTGGAAGCCTCCTGTATATTTTTGACCTTGGCACATATTCTGTCCTCCAAGGAAGGAAGTGACAACTTTCACATCAGACAGAAGGGAAACCCACGGATACTGTGTGGTCTTGTTGGTTTTTCTACCCTTTAGCTGTGCTTCTTCTGCATTATTCACAGCTCAAGAATAAAATTCAAAGGTTTTTAGGTCTCTTCTTTCAATGACCTTTTTCCTAGTGTTCAGTTCAGTCACTCAGTTGTGTGTCTGACTCTTTGTGACCCCATGGACTGCAGCACTCCAGGTTTCCCTGTCCATCACTAACTCTTGGAGCTTACTCAAACTTATATCCATCAAGTCGGTGATGCCATCCAACCATCTCATCCTCTGTCGTCATCCCTGTCTCCTCCCACCTTCAATCTTTCCCAGCATCAGGGTCTTTTCTAATGAGTCAGTTCTTCACATCAGGTAGCCAAAGTATTGGAGTTTCAGCTTCAGCCTCAGTCCTTCCAGTCAATATTCAGGACTGATTTCCCTAGAGTAATACACCCTGTCTCATCACATCCACTCTAGGCAAAAGGCTACCCAGGTTTCCTCCTGAATTCTTAAGCCCCAGTTTGATTTTTCCAGCTATTCAGAGGACATCTTTGCCTGGATGTTTCCAAACCTCAAACTCAACACGCCTGGAACTGATATGAAACCGAAATGGACAGGTACCTCTCTTCCAGTGTCCATTTAATGTAGTCTCAAAACTCTGAAGTCATCATCTTTGTCTCTTACAGCTTCCATATCCTTGCAATCTCTCGGGAATCTCCCTACCCCTCACTTCTTTCCTGATCCATGTTGTATGGATAATTTGAGATCTTAGTCTCTCACTTAACTACTGAAATCATTCTCTAACCATTCTCCATGAATGCAGTCCCCTTCCTGCCCCTACTCCATCCTAAACTTTGCTGACAGGTGAATCTTAATGCACAGGACTCCAAGCAAGTCTTTCCTGGCACAGCATCTCCATCTGCACTGGATTTGTCACACAGCTTAGTCAACACTATTCCCCCGCCCTCATACTATAGTTACTCTGTATATATAAGTCTTTAATCCCTGCCCAGACTCTAAGGCTCCAAGAGAAAAGGATCTATGCTTGAAAAGCTATCTCAAATAGCATCCAACACAGTTCTTTTCACAGCACAAGAATGTTTTATTCAAGGAAATGCAGAACGAATGGCTATTCTACTCTAGTCTCTGTTCCGCTGTACACATACCAGGGATGTTTCCCCTTCCATACTTCTATCGAGCTAAAACCTTAATCAACCATTGGTCAAGTGGTGCAACACCATTCTAAGAAAATGGAAATTAAATTAGCAGGAGCAAAGTTACCTCTTGGGAAAGCAAGAGCAATGTGATGAAGAGGAAAAAAAGTCATGTTTCCTTTATTAAACTGAGTAGTGGGTAGACAGGTATCATATTCTTTATACCTTTTTCACTCTCTACATCTTTCTGAATGTCTAAAATAGTCATCAAAAACATGAGGCATCAATATTTACTGAAACATATCTAAAAAAAGATTCACTCCTCCCAGTAATATAGTTCTGCATTTAATTATTCTTCTGTTTCATATGTTAGTTCTACTTGCTAACCAGATGGCTAGAAAAAAAGTTTCATCATATTTTGGATTGATCTTCATCAAACAATGACTCATAAGACTAAAACTTTCTCACCCTTTCCCATCAAAGCTTGCTCAAGTAGAAAGGATAGATCGAAGCAAACCTGAACAGATTATGGCTGCCCCAAATTCAAGAAAAAAGTAGCTGTGAATCCTATTACAGTTAAATAATCCTCCCTAATTTATCTGTTTTTTTATTTTCCCTTAAGGCAGAGGTATTGTTCTGTGGGTGGCATTTTCCCCATAAACAATATGTTGGCCTAGTAATAGGAAGCTTATTTGTGAAGAACTTATTCTACATGTGAGCTTACTAGGATCATTTGACAGGAAAAAGGGGATTGTATTTTGTTTGAGGACTAAGAAAAAATGCTGTTTTTCCAATACATTTAAAAATACTGAATAAAGTAGAACCTTTCCATGAAAAGGTTTGCAGGTTAGTGTAAACTTAAACAGGTTCTTTGCTTGTAACAAAAATGTTCATCTGCCATAGCATATATCCCACTTCCCAGATGGCTAAAATATGCAGATTACAAATACAAATGTTTATAAATTAATAAATAAATTCCAAGTACTCACTGGTTTTGTTTTACTTTAAAAATTTCAGAAAGCTAAGAGTTAAGGATTTATGGGGCCACACAACCATAAAGCAAGGCAGTTTAGTCTGGGAAGGGTATTTCAAACATCTAGGAATAACCTGATATTTCACAAATCCAGGAAAAATTTCAAAAGCATTTCACAAGGGGCTGTTTTCAATAGTTCGTCAGTCTGGTGAATACCAAAATGATATTATTGACAGCATCCAAAAGAGTGTCTTAGAGACTTTTTTTTTTAATGCCCAAAGGAAGTATGTAAAGTATAAGCCCAAGTTTTAAATTAAAACTTAAGTGATACTACTGCTATGAAAGCCTAGAAATTAGGATTTAGCTCATCATGCATCTGTACATGTTTGGATGAATACTCAGACTCAATTAGTTTCAGTTTGCTCCAGCTTTCCCTTTAGATTCACTGACCTGGACATAAAATTTATACTTTAATATGGCAAACTTCATTAACCCCACAGAAATGTAAAGGAGTCTATGGGGAATTACAAAACATGCCATCCTTTACTAATTATCAAGCTAAATTTTGTTAGGCAACAGCCTCTTTATCAACCAACAGATAAGTCTGATGGGGCTCCCACCAGCATCATAGCAACCCATGAAAGACCACATGCCCACAAGCATGAACTACATCCCTTTCCCAGACACCTAAAAGAGGCGAAATGTACCCTGCCTCTTAATTCTAGGCAAACTTCTGGAAATCCCTGGTGTGTATTCGCAGCCCAGGTATGTCACAATGTCAGTCCCCATTGAGAAGGATGAGCCTAAACCCAAGAGCAAGGGTCTCAGGAGTAAGCGTGTCTGCAGACTGCTGGCTACACCAGCAACATCAATCACTGTGCTTGAATTTAGCTCAGCTGGCAGCCAAGCATAAGAACACCTTCTCCCCTAAGAAAGTCAATTCTGCCTTGAACAAGGGGAGAAGAGTTGACAGTGGGAATTATTTATAACCTTATTTCTTTGCCCAACAAAAATCCTAAATTTGTCCTCATTCATACCCCAGGGGGAGTCCTAAACACTAGACAGGACCTCAACAGGACTCCCGCCCATGGAACAGGGGGTCATATCATGGAGTCTACACCAGTCAAATGCCAGGGGCGTAACCAACCAGGACTCCACAGGGAAATGGGGACAAGGGCAAGAGTTGGCAGGCTTAGTTTGAAATGGGCAGACAGCTCAGTAAATTCAGATTCTTGATATTCTCTTCAGAGGAACAGGTTTTCATTTTCTTTTTGATACCCAGAATGGAAATGAGAGAACAGATCAGCCCACAGACACCCGGCACACGTGAATTCACAACCAGGAGGGTCCTCATGTTTGCAGGTTCTCTGGCTGTTCTAACCAGACAGCACCACGGATCCTCCCCTCTGCAAGACCACACCAGCATCACACCTGGCGCCCTGCCCCTCCCCAGCACAAATCCTGGTGTGAATCTCTCACATAAACCAAATGACTGCATGCCTAGACAGAAGGAAAAATGGTGGGGCTGCTGGTCCCACCTCGGCCCCCACCTGCCCTGAACACCTCTTTCTGACTTTCATTTTCTGCCAACCCCTCACTCAGCTTATTTTTAACTTTACTGTCACCATCCCCCCACAAACTCCATGTTCCTATCACATTTTACACTTCATACCCACTCCCCACTATGCCTCAGCCAACATATGAGATGCACACACAGTGGCAGAAAATAAAAGGAGAGCTGTACTCTTTTCCACCCACAATTAGAGAGATAAAGATGCCATTTCTTCTAAGGTGGAAATACAGGTGATTTTTCTCTTTCATCATTACTACTGAAACTTGTGTCCATACTGGAGGTACAATAGGCTTCTCCATATTTCTCAGAATTCCTAACCATGTGTTTCTGCAGCAAAATAGGATACAAATTCAAAACACACAAAGTCCTTAGAGTTGTGAGTTAGGGAAACATCCCCACTGACAGAAAGGAACGAACAGGTCCATTCTTGAATCAATTTTAAAAAATTAAATGCTATCAGTAATATCTATGAAATGCTAGAGCTTTTGTGTGTTACATGTATTTTCAGAGAGAAGGAAAAAAGCAAAATATAAAGTGTCCTCATGAAAAGGTATCAATCAATTTGGAGGATTTTTTGGTCTCTACTTCAACATTCTCTAAAGAAAAACTTTTGATGTTAAAAAAAATAAGCAGCTTTCAAAAGCTACCAAGTGCTTGTACTAAAGCTAGGTATTATAAGCTTTGTCCAGCTACAGTTTCAGCTTTTCAGCCAAAGCCTGTTGTTAAAATATTCTAAAACGGAGAACTAAAAAAAAAAAATCTTGGAAGCAGTCTGCTGGCTGACTTTTTACATCCCCCCATACTGGGGAGGTCAAAATTGACAGGAAATAAGTCTCAATCCTTAAACAATGCATATGCACCACTATTCCTACACTGTATACAATCTAAAGAATTCACATTAGCTAAACAGATCTCTCTAACTGCCCAAGGAAAAACACTTCCCAGATATATTAGTTTAGCGAAGGATTCCTACAAGAGGCACTCAAGTTCCCCTCAAAAGTGGAGTGTCACAGTGTAAAACCTTTAGGGGGAAAATCATTGCAAACAAATCCTTACCATTCTCACTGGGCTCTGCTGGGTTGGGCACGTCTCGGAACGGGATTATGACTGCATCTCCAGGCACTCTGGGGCTTTCCACATACTTGGGCTTCCTGACAGGACCTGTAGCAGGGAAAGATCTGAGTGTGTCTAATTTTTTCCAGCTGCAAACAAAGCTTCAGAATGTAGTGTGTGTCCTCACCAGAACCCAGAGATGCCTAAAGAGCCAGCCCCTTCCCCTCCCGTGAACACACACACGGTCATTTCAGCACAGACGCCGCAACGTCCAGACTGGGCTGCCAAAGAGATGGCTGGAAGCTCAGCTCGCAGAATGTAAACTCAGAAAAACAAAAGCAGCTCTTCTGCTATGCAGCCTCTACAGCTGTCTTTGGTATATGTCACGGAAGTGATTTTGACATGTTCGGACCTGGGCGGCTCGTTGTGAAGGTTTTTAACTTGGAATTTGTCTCTAACTGGGACCAAGATGATCAGGTTGCCTGGTATCTCCCCCAAAGTCAGGAGGCAAGGATCACAAACTGCCAGGCTGTAACATCAACATGCTCTGCGCAGCCATGGAACGCAGGCATTTGATCAGCCTGGTGACACATGGCAATTGTGCCGGGCAGGAAAGACGGCTGCTTTCTTGGCAGCTGACATAGAAGAGGGAAGGCAGAGCAGTCAGTCCGGCATGCAATTCGGGGACAAAGAGAGCCTGTTAAATCATCTCTCTCACCACCTCTTCAACCCCAGCTTATCATCAGATAATCTGGAATTCTGAATTAGGCTACATGAAACCCTCACACATTGCTGGTGGTGATATACACATGCAGTCACTTTGGAAAACAGCTTGGCAGTTCCCAAGGTTACACATATGGTCCAATAAATCCACTTCCGTGTAAATATACATTCAGACAAAAATCTGTACATGAATGCTCTTAGTAACATTACTCATTAACAGCCAAATGTTCATCAACTGATGACAACAAAACGTGATATACTTATCACTGGGCAATAAAAAGGAAGTACTGATTCATGCTAAACATGGGCGAAGCCTGGAAATATTTTGCTCAGTAAAAGAAGCCAGTCCCTAAAGACCACATAATATATGATTCCATTCAAATGGAATGTCCAGAATAGGCAAATTTACAGAAACAGAGTGTGAATGGTTACCAGGGCCTGGGGGATGTGCAGGCTTGTGGGGTGATGGCTAGTGAGTCTGGGGTGATAAAAATAATCTAAAATTAGGTTGTGGTGATGGTACAAAACCTTGTGAATATACTAAAAACTGCTGCAGTGTACACTTCAAATGAGTGGACTGTATGGTATGTGAATTATATCTAAATAAAGCTGCTTTAAAAAAAACAAAGAACACTGCCTATTCTGTGCGGTCCTTTCAAACATCCCATTACACTTTGGTCCAGAATCATCCACCTGACTCTTGTTTTCCTTGGTTGCCTTATACTTAAAGTGTGCTTTTAATAAGGCTACAGAGATAGGAAACATTTCACATCACTAAGAGAAGGCGGAGGATGAGTCGCAGACAGGGGTCTACAGTTCTCTCTCCTGTTCAGCCCTCAGACACAGCCCGGCCCTCCCAGGGCCTCAGCCTGGGCACTGCACACAGGGGGAGTCAGGCAGATTCTGAGATCCTCCTGTGTCAAACGTCTCCTGCATCTGAGAAATTCTATTCAGAATGTGGTTTACGGTGAGACATGCTGCCACCTAAAGGTTTACTGCAAAAGTGTCTACACTACCATAAAAATAATCTAATTCCCAGCCAGTTATAGTACCACAACCGAAAATAGGCTACAAAATCAAAGAAGCTTATAGAGCTTGACAAATAGGATATAATTTCAGACTTTAGAAATCATGATTCTAAAATGACTAATGTAGTATTTAACCATATGGCTATCTTCACAATTGATTTAACCCTGTTAGAAAGGGAGTTTTTTTTTTTTAATTAATTAATTTATTTTGCTGCACTGGGTCTCAGTGGAGGCCTGCGGGATCTTTCCTTGTGGAATGCGGACTTAGCTGCCCTGGGGCATGTGGGATCTTAGTTTCCCGACCAGGGATGGAACTTGCATTCCCCTGCACTGGAAGGCAGATTATTAACCACTAGACTGGCAGGGGAGTCCCAGAAAAGGACTGTTTTTAAAGGTTGAAACGGAATAGTTACTGGGGATGGGCAGAAGGAATGTAAGTGGAAAATGTCAGCTATACCACAAAATACAATTCAGATTTTATTAAGAATACACATCTATCCATATATAAATATGCATGAAGAGAAAGACTGAGGAGGAGAGGGGAAACAAAGATATTTGCTGTGAAGGAGATAGCAACTAGGAAGAACCTGAACAGGGCAGGCAGAAACAGACCCAGGACAAATGCAAGAAATTTTCTACACTCTGGGTTCCCAAACCACTCCTTATAGGAAAAGAGATCAAGAGCACCTTTGTCTCTTCATCCACTCTTCTCCATTTACGGAACTCAAGGGAGCTAAAGCCTTTTATTATTATTGTCCAATGATTCAAGTTACCCAAAACAGAAACCACGCTCCACTCATGAAGTACCTGTAAGTTTCTGTTCACCTTAACTCCTCAGGGAATAGTAATAACTTACAGAGACCTACTTCCCAGCAATCCACCTATCCCACACATCCTTCCAAAATGTTCTCCTGCGGAGAGCGTTTACTACTTCACATGGATGAACAGTGACTGTTAGGAATGGTTGGAATATGAACCTCAACATCACCCAGAGCCTTTGGAAAGCATCTATGCCCATCCGTTTGCCTGTAACTGCGTTCCATTCAGAGGTCGATCCCTCACTGTAAGAGATATTCAACACTAAGGCGATGGTGTTAAGAGCAGAGCCTCTGAATGGTTCAAAGCCTCTGAACTGATTCACTGTGCTATCCAGAAGAAACTAACATAACACTGTAAATCAATTAGTTTTTTGTTTTGTTTTTTTTTAAAGAGCAGAGCCTTTAGAGCTGGGCAGACCTAGGTTTAAATACAGTCTCCGTCCCTCTCCAGCTCAAACTTCGGTACATCCCAGAGCTAAAAGAACAATGAGGGAGGCTTCAGCTCTTAGGGGAATATCCTGAGAGCGGAGGTCAAGTGTCTCTGGCTCCCAGGTTGCCACAGTGCCTGCCCCAGTAAACAGTGAGGCTGGAAAGGAAAGGAGCCCTGGCATGTAACAATAAGCAGTAAACAATAAAACTGCAGTCAATGGCCACACAAGGCTAAGGACTTACATACATTAACTCATCCAGTCCTAATAACTTTGGAGGAAAAACACTATTTCCCCCATTTTTAGGTCAGGAAACTGAGGCTCAAATCAGTGAAACAATCTGCTCAAGGCCAACACACGGTAAAGAAGGAATTCAAACAGTTTTGAGGTGCATGCAGGTTTGAAGCCCATGTACTTAAATCACCACTCAGCACTTATAAAAACTAGGAAATCTAGATTAAATAGGCAATAGAAAAGGCCAGGGCAGCAGGGCCTTCTACCACCCTACCCTGGGTCTTGGCTATACATCCAGCAAATCTTCTATTCATACTCTCGTTTCTGATCTCCTCTTTTACTAGGAGTTGAAATATTATGAAGTGAATATAAACCACAGCTCTCCAACATCATCCTTTTATTTAAATTGCTTTTCACAAACAGCTGAACCTCAAATGCTATAAAACCGGATAAATTTATAACTCAGAGGTTTTCTTCTTTCCCCCCTCAGTCGCTCGTTAGAGACTCTTTGGGCACTTTCCATTAAACACAGCAGATGAACGCTCGTTCGCCCTCACTCCCTTTCAAAACACCATTAAAGCTGTGGTAAAGGGATTTAAGAGAGACCAGTGGGGAAGGAAGACAACCACAGGCAAGAAACCAAACTTCTGAAAGTGGAAACAGACTGCCAAGGAGAATGGACGGAGCACAGCAGGAAAGGTTAGGACCGGGGGAGGGAGGGCTCAGCCTCACAGACAGCAGACCCCTCTGAAGGCAGGGGCATGGCAGGGTTGAATGCCGAAGTGGAAATCTACTGAAAGGAAAGTAACACCCCTCCAGAATGCCTTCCCAAGCCAGGAAGCATTCCCTCCTTCATCCTGGATGCAGAATTCTTCCCTGGCAAGGCTGAATTCCAAGACCATGGAGAGTTAAGAGCTCAGCTCCTGAGTGCTACACTAAACCAGGGATCGAGAAATTCTCCGTGTGGATTGGTGGGCCCCACCCAGATGCATCTCTCCACACCCTCGACCCCAGCTGTCTGCTATGAAAAGGCTGACACCGCAAGCTTGCACACCAAGGAGGAACCTTTTTTGGTACCAGGGACAGGTTTCGTGGAAGACAAACATTTTTCCATGGACCGAGGTTGGGGGTGGGATGGGGTGGGGTTGGGAGAGATGGTCTGGGGATGATTAAAGTGCCATTACATTTATTGTGCACCTTATTTTTTATTATTATTGCATCAGCTCCACCTCAGACCATCTGGCATTATATCCTACAGGTTAGGGATCCCTGGATTAGAGATTCCTCCCTGGGAGGAGAAAAGACCTATACATCATCACAGTTGGAGCTAAGCCCCCAGAGAAATGGTGGGTCCCTGACCCATCACTCTACCACAAAGCCTTCCCCACACAGACAGACAGACAGACAGACAGACACACACACACACACACACCTCTCTACCGTTTAGTCAGCTTTTTAGTACCTTGTACTTACAAACTAAAATCATCAGATACTCAAGGAAAGATCCTACTCTAACAGAAAACACCAATAACAGGTTGAAGAAGGAACCTTGAGGAATCAGAGTTAATAGGAGGTACATACCCTCCAGAGAGATAAGAGCTACCATTACCCTTGTTCTGTGACAAGGGGCCTTCAGGGTCTGTGATATGGGCAGCTGACCAGACTGACCACAGGACGGGACGACCAGAGGCCACACCAGTTAGGAGCCATTGTAATCACTGCTCTGTAATCACACACTAAACTGCCATCTATTAAGCCACAGTGACACTGAGTTCTATGCCACCGAAATGGAAAACTTCTAAATGAAGTGGCCAAATTCATCATCAACAGAGATCAAAACCGAAAAACACATTTCCCTAACACGTGAGCCTTACTCA